CACAGAGTGCACTTACACAGAACTAGAGGGAACAGTACTAACACACGGAGGCTGCATGGCATGGCCTATTGCCCCGAGGCTGCCAGCCTATACCGCATGCTGTTGTCCAAAAACAACAGGAGATCAAGTCAAGCACCGAAAACAGGCACCAAGATGTATGAGGCTGCTGCAGGTATAACACAGCATACTGTTTTACAACAAACTTTTAAAATACATTTTTATTTATTTCAGAGAAAAAGGGAGAGGGAAAGAGGGAGAGAGAAACATCAATGAAGAGAGAGAATCACTGATCACCTGCCTCCTACACACTTCTTACTGGGGGGTTGAGCCCGGAACCCGGCAAGCGCCCTTGACCGGAATTTAACCTGGGACCCTTCAGTCCGCAGTCCCATGCTCTATCCACAGAGCAAAACCAGCTAAGGGTACAGCAAACTTTTTAAAGTTGAAAGTGTACACTCTAAATTAATGATTTTTAGAAGTGCAGTGCAGTAAATACATAAATCAGCAACTTGGTCATTTATAAGCATCATTAAGTATTAAGTTCTGAACATAATTATATGTGCTATACTTTTATACAGTGTTTGTTTACACCAACATCCTCACAAACATGTGAGCAATGACCTTACCACAGCTATGGCATCACTAGGCAATAGGAATTTTCCAGCTCCGTTATAATCTCGTGGGACCACCGTTACACGTTGTCTATTGACCTAGACATCGTTAATCGGTGCATGTCTGTACAGGGTACAGTTTTCAGGGGTCATGGGCCCAGGAAAATTCAAGAATGCACTCCTACAGGCCAAATTAAGGTGGACCCGAAGGTGCTAAGGGCTCAGAAAGTGCACCTGTTGGCCAAGTGTAATGTGAGGACACAGAAATGCTGCCAAATAGGGCAGACTGAGGCTGGAACAGAAAGACCAGGCAGCCTGGCTGCTGTGGCTCCGTTGGTTGGTCTGGCACAGCTGAAGGTCTCGGGTTCCGTTCCTGATCAGGCATATGCGGTTCTGTCCCTGGTCAGTGCTCACGTGGGAGGCAACTTATCAATGTTTTTCTCTCACATTCATGCCTCTCTCTCCCTCTCTCTCTCTCTCTCTCTCTCTCTCTCTCTCTCTCTCTCTCTCTCTCTCTCTCTCAAATCAATAAAAACATATCCTCGGGTCATGATTTAAAAAAACCAAAAAACTAAGGCCCAGCAGTGTGGCTCAATGGTTGAGCATTAACCCAGAGGACCGTAGTTGAATTCCGGTCAGGGCACAGGCCCAGGTTGAGGTGGTCCCCAGTAGGGAACATGCAGGAGGCAGCCCATGGGTGTTATCTTTCATAGATCTCTCTCTCTCTCTCTCTCTCTCTCTCTCTCTCTCTAATCAATTACAAATAATAATAAAAAATAAAGGCCAAGTACAAGATACAGCAGTGCTAGAGCTGAGAGGTGAGATGACCTTGGATCCGGAATCTGGGGAAGGAGCAGAGTCCCCGCCCCGCTCTCCTGTCTCTCCCCCCTGCCCCCAAGGAAATCAAACAGAGGCAGGCATTGAAGATCAAGGGCACGGTGACCACAAGAAGAATGCAGCGCTGCTGTTGCAACTCCTGCTGCTGGCACTAGGCAGGCGAGGCTGAAGTGCGAGCGCTGACAGAGCGCCCCCCCCCCGCCCCGCCCCCGCCTCTTCCCCTGCTGCTGGGGAACTGGCAGACGCTGGAGGCCGGCAGACCTTGCCCTCACGCAGGCACAGTGGGTGCTGGTGCAGAGTTCTGGATTGGCGGAGGTGGGGCTGGGAGCTGGAACTCCAAGTTCTCCGAATGAAGAGAGCTGAGGGATGAGTCCTGGGAAGGTTGCGGCCTTGGAATCCGGCGTCCAGAGAAAGGACTCTGGGCGGGGCGGGAAGCTGGGGCCTGGACTTCTGGTTGTCTGGGAAGAGGAGTGGGGTGGGTGGGGGGAGTCAGCCTGAGCTCCAGGTTACAGGCGGAGTTGCACTACCCTAACCCCAACTCCATTCCTGGGCCCGGAGGGAGGAGCCTGAACAGGGGCGTGGCGGGAGCAGAGGTTCTCCTGGTTCCAGGCCGGAGGGGGGGGGGGGGGGGGGGCGGGTGGGTACTGAGGGCCCAGATGCCTAGTTGTGTGGGTGCAGGGGCCTGGGGACCGGGACCTGTAGATCCTGAGAGGAAAAGAAAGAGGGAGCCTGGACTCCTGGGTCTGCGGGAAGAAGCTGGCGATGTGAACTCCCGCGCCCGGAATGAGAGGCTGAGACGGGAACTCCGGGGTCTGAAGGGGGAAGGAGCCCTGGGCGGGCTCTGGGGTCTGGGGTGGCGGGGGGAGGAGCACCCCAGGCCCCGCTGAGCGCCGCTCCTCGTGGCTCCGGCTCACAGTGCACTGGGCCCGCCCGCAGCGGTGCTGTGCGGCCACGCGGCGCTGGGGGGCGCAGGAGTGCTGCCCGCGGGAACCTTCTGTGGCCGCAGGGCCACTGCAGTCTTTATTTTTTTTGTTAATCCTCAACCGAGGCTATATTTCCAAGATCTTTACAGTGGAAGGGAGGAGACAGAGAGAAACAGACACATCTGTCGGTTGCTTCCCACAGGAGCCCCCACCAGGGCCAGGATGGAGCGTGCAACTGAGGGCTGGGCCCTTGCTTCGGGACCGTTCATCCGCAGGCCAATGCTCTATCCACTGGGCAAACTGGCTATGGCCATAGCGATCATTAAACGATTCACAGAAGCGTGAGGTTCAGGAGGCGGAAGAGCAGGCCCGGGCATCCGGTCAGGGTGATAAAGGAGAGGGGGGGGGGGGGGGGGCGGAGCCTAATAGAGAATCCATGTTCAGGAGCCCAAATGGCGGGAAGGTGGGGCGAAGCTAAGTGTAGGGTCCAGTCCTGGGGCTGGTTCCTCCAGCAGCAATACAGGGGCGATGAGTAGAAAGAGCAGGGAAGGCAGGGATGGCAGCCAAGAGGTCTGGAAGGCAGCTGAGCCAAGGGGTACCAGGGAGTCTGCCTGGCTGCTGGAAGGCCAGGGTCAGCTCCCATCCCGCCCCCTTCTGCCCCACCCCCAGACATCAGGTTTCCTTTCTTTTTAAATATATTTTCATTGATATCAGAGAGGAAGATAGAAACATCAATTGCCTACCTCCTGCATGCCCCATATGGGATACAGCTGGCATCCCAGACACATGTCCCAACTGGGAATAGAACCAGTGACCTTTTGGTTCATGCTCAACCACTGAGCCACACCTGCCAGGCTAGGCATCATGTTTTCTATGGAGCTGCCCTGGAGGACACAATGAGGAGTGTGTCTGGAGGTGGCTTGTTTGCTTCTCAAATTTGAGCCACCGTTGCTGCATCCTGTCGGAGAGGAGAGGGGCCTGGTGTAAGTGTAGCAATGGTCGGAAGGCAGCTTTATAATCTGGTTGTGTTCTCACTACCAGGAGCCCTGGTAGAACTTGGTGACTACTAGATAATGCCTGGGTATCTAACGTTGTTTCCTGGTTTGGGGGAACCGCTATGGTTACAAAGACCCAGAGTTTCTGAGGGTCCAGACTTCAGTGACAACTTCCACATCGAGTTCCAGATGGGTGAGAGGGCCAGCCCAGCAATCCTTGGGAGCCCAACCTATGCCAAATCCTGAGCACATAGACCTACCTAGAGTGGATCACTAGAAAAGGACTGAGAATCTTGGAACTGGAGTTATAGAATGTATGACATCAGGCCCAATCTCCCCAGAGGGAAATTAGTTGTCTTGCTCATCCAATTGAGATCCTGTCTCCGAGGTGTGCCCTTCCTCCTGGACTGGCTCCCTGGACTTATACCACCAGAACCTCAAGGAGCTTCAGGTCTTCATCAGGGGACACAGTAGCCTGGGGAGTCCCATGAGTTCATGGATTGCTTCCTAGACCAAACGGGTAAGGTGCAGGCTCCTGCTGTCCTAAACTCCATCCATGCCACCCACAAGGAAGCACCTAGCACTCAGCAGCACCCCTCTCCTCTGTTCGCAGGAACAGAGTTACTTCCAGGAGGAAACTTTGGTGATGACCACATCTTTTCTTTGGCAGCACAGAGACCGCAAGCACCATCCTGACCTACCAGCTTCTCCCCTTCTCTAGTTCCCAGAGGTGGCATGTGCCAGCAGGAAAGCCCAAGTTGAGAGGGTTAGGGTTTAGGAATGGCTACGGGTGGGGGGGTGGGAGGCTGTGGCTCACACTTCATTGGACTCCGCCCACGTGCATGTGAAGCTGGACACGTGGTCGGTCTGGCACACTTCCCAAGCCTGCCCTACACCAGCACATTGCTGCAGAAGAGCCAGGACCACCCTTGGGACTGTCATGTGCCTTACACGCCACGCCCATCTGCACGGCCACTTTCTGCCCAAGGTGTTCACCGAGCATGGGGCTTGTGCACAGGGCTGGGAAGCTCGGTAACTGCGATTAGCAGACATGAGCATACGTGCAGCCCTGCGAGTAAGAAATAAAGCTTCCCTTCCCAGTGGCTTCTACATGAAAGGCAGTCTTGTCAAGTTCATGGGCACATTCCACTTAGGGAACCTTCATGATTTCTCTGCTTGTGTCTGCACAGGGGACCCTATCCAATTCAGGAATCCATATTGTTTCAAGTCCACCAAGTTCCTGGATAAGGGCCAGTTTGTTCATGTCCTTTGCCCCCCGTTATGGGCCACACAGAAAGGGGGCCTGCTTGGGCAGAGCCTAGATACATGGGGTGTTTATATGAGTCTGTGTCCCCAGGAAGGTGGATGTACTTGGGTGCAGGCCTGACCTGATCAGATCCTCCTCCTCTTCACCGCCATTGTGCAGTGGTTCTGTCTGCTCCTGTGGAGCCCCACCAACAAAGACCTCACCCTGCAGTGCACCAGGCCTGGGTAATGTCCTCCCTCCCTCCCCCAATGTCCGACTCAGCCACTCTCTGCTGGCACGCAGACCTTCTTACCCCTTTGTTTAACCAAGGCCCTGGATTGCAGATGGAGGCATGTCATTGCCAAGAGGAAGAGGGGAGTCAGATCCGTGCAGCTCTGAGGTAAACTTTTATTTCTTGGCTGACAGGACTTTCACACCCACACTCCTCCCAGCACCTTTTATCTGCCCAAGCAGCGGCAGCCTAGTCCAAGGGTGCCATGGCCAAGAGGGTTGGGAGTCATTTCACATTCTAAGCTGGAGGAGTGAGGGGGCTTGCAGATACTCCCCCCACAAACCTTTGCCAGCAAGAGGCCATGACTCACCTCAATCCCAAATCTTGCATCCTGGTGGGAGGTGACAATGTTCCCTTCCAGCTCTCCCCACCTGAGGGGCATGACTAGGCAGGGCAAGACACAGGCCCCAGCTCCAGTAACGGTAGCTCCCCGGCACTGCCCCTGCCCAGGTCACAGCCCCAGCTCCCATCACAGGGCAGCACAGGTCTCTCCCCTGCTTGGTCCTCAGCAACTAAGGGAACTCTCCACACCGAGCAGGACATAGGCAAAGTCGGAAGCAGCAGCGGTGGCGGGGTAGGAGCAGGCACCAAGACTGGTAGGCTGCTGGCCAGGCAGCACCAGCCCAAGGCTCTCCTGAAATCAAGGCAAGTCCTCTGTCCATGCAGCTCTGGGGCTGACCACTAGGTGGGCGTAGTCGGCTGAGATACAGGTACTTGAACACCTTTCTGTCCCGATGCTGGTGGGAGGGAGGGAGACAGGAGATCATGAGGCAACAGGAATAAGACTAAGAGGCTGTGAAAAAGCTGGGAAGGGGAGGAGGACCAGAAGAGATGGGGTTCATGCAGGAGAGTGGCTGACTTGGAAAGGTGGGCAGAGGTAAGGGAAAGGGTAGCCTTACTAAGGGAAAGAGCTTAGTAAGAACCGGAAGTGGATGAGATAGCTAGAGCCCTGGTGAAGTTGTGGAACAGGAAGGACTTGAGGGAGGGGACACCATTTGGGAAGCAGGTACCTAGCTGATACTTGTCTTTGGCGGCAGCTCGCTCCTTGGCATCAAAATACCAGACAGTGATGGCGTACCTGAGGACCAGAGCAGTGCCAGAGGCAGTTAGAGATGACTTTTCTTCAGTTCCAGCCACCACATCAGTGACACTAGAGCCTACCCTGAGCCTGGTTCTGTTCCCACCTAGGTCCCCGCTGAGTACTTCACCTGTCCTGTCATTCGGGGGAATTCCTGAGCATATCCCAGAAGCATGGGTCATACCTGGTGGCATAGGCTGGTTTCACCTCATGGGGGTTCCGCCGGTCAGACCAGAAAATGAGCAGCCGGTCAAAGAGTGGCTCAATGTTGGCTACCACAGGCCGGCCCTCAGGGAAGATCTGCAGCAGGCCGCCGTGCACCTGAGGGCAGACCAGAGGTTGAGGCAGGAGGCTGGCACTTACTGTCCCAGGAGCCCACCAGGGCATAGCAGCTGCACACAGCACTCCCTCCCACCATTCAGCCTCCTAAACATGAATGCCAACCTAGAGTCTGCATCACCAAGGAGATGGGCAGGAAGCTACTAAAGACAGGAAATAGAGGGGAGGATTCATTATGCCATGGCCTGGGCCGACTGCACTATTCCTCGAAGGAGGGGCCTTTGCTACCACACTGCTAGAAAGGAGGTGCCATTCTCCAGGAGGAGCCAGGGGCCAGACTGCCCCACCCCCATGTGGGTAGAGAAGAGGAACCAGAGGTTAGAAGCTGAGCTGGAAGTGGAAACCCACGTGGATGCACACCATACCACCCCCATCCCCACCCCCACACCCTACCTTGATGTCCCAGTTCTGATTCAGGTAATAGATACATGTGATGCAGCGCCCATCACCGTGGGGATTGTCAACGTGCCTCACGTACCCCAGCCCATTGCCTGGGTAACACGCCACCATGGCCTAGCAGAGACAGATGGAAGTACTTTACTGGGGCTAAGCAGACATAGTTGAGGAAGCAGCCATTACCTCCTCTTTTCAATTCTCCCTGCTCCTCATCTTTGATTCAGGTGTCCAAACTTTCACCTTTTTTAACCAAGCCCCCATCCACCAGAAACCACAGCTCCAGGGCCTCAACAGCCCATCACATACACACCACCACACCACAACACACCACACCACACCCCACCACACCCCACACCCCACCCCACACACACATCACATCACACACACCACACACCACACCACACCACCACCACCCCTAGAGCTGGAATCCAGAAGAAACTTAATGAGGAACTGAGGGTTTCGTTTTTAAAGATAACCAGACCCACCTCAGACATTTCAGCAGAATAAAACCAGTGTCTGTTTTCTGGAGTCAGCAATGTGGCCTCATAGCCCACACCAGGGGTTCTCGCCCTTGGATGCAGTGGAACCACCTGTGACAGATGCCAGGCCCACCTTAAAAGTTCACATGTATGGCCCTAACCGGTTTGGCTCAGTGGATAGAGCGTCGGCCTGCGGACTGAAGGGTCCTGGGTTCGATTCTGGTCGAGGCATGTACCTTGGTTGTGGGCACATCCCCAGTAAAAGGTGTGCAGAAGTCAGCTGATAGATGTTTCTCTCTCATTGATGTTTCTAACGCTCTATCCCTCTCTCTCCCTCTCTGTAAAAAGTTAATAAAATATATTTTAAAAAATAAAAAGTTCTCACGTATGCGGAACCTGGAATTTTTAAAGGTCCCCCAGGTAATTCTAATGCACAGCAATGGTGAGAACCACTGTGCCTGACCACAAAGATGCCAGCTAAGTAAATTATGTCTCCTACATATTTAAACAGGTGTCAAAGCCTAGAGTGTGACTAGAACCTGAGATCTAATCCCAACTCCAAGGATAACTTGCTGGGTAACCCTAGATAATCCTATCACCTTAGCAGGCCTCAACTGCCTCATCTATATAATGGGGCTAATAACACCTGCTGTTTACAGCAATGGCATTAACCCCTCTGAGAATCTAACTCTGGAGGTTCCTGACCACAAAGATCTAAAAGGACCAATTCAAGGTCTTGTACAGGTTTTTGTGTGTACAGGTCTAGCCATAAGGTTCTCACCTCCTCTCCCTGACGGCTGCCCCTGCCCTGGCCAGCCCTGACCATGCTGAGGCCTGAGCCTAGCCACATAGGGCTTGTTTTTCTCATCAAGGAGCTGAGGAAAAGGTGGATGTGGTGTGAGTAAACAGCCAAGGTGTCCCTACAGACCTAACACACAGGTTCATTTAGAGCTGCCACACGAGCTGGGATGTGAGGGGCAGGGGTAAGAAAGAGGAGTCTCAGCCGAGACCGGTTTGGCTCAGTGGATAGAGCGTCGGCCTGCGGACTCAAGGATCCCAGGTTCGATTCCGGTCAAGGGCATGTACCCCGTGGGGGGGCGTGCAGGAGGCAGCTGATCGATGATTCTCTCTCATCGATGTTTCTGGCTCTCTATGCCTCTCTCTTCCTCTCTGTAAAAAATCAATAAAATATAAAATAAAAAAAAAGAATAAAAAAAAAATCAAAGAGGAGTCTCAGGCTCCTCATCCATGACATGGAACTGACAGCTACTTCACAGGTTGTTGTGGAAACTGAACAAGATATAAAGAGAAGGCATCCAGCATGGTGCCTGCCACATGATAGAAAGCCAAAGCACAGACTGAAATCACATTTTTTTAAAAATCCCAGCCCTACCCTCTGCCCAAAGCCTGGATGAGGCAAATAAGGAAGCACTGACTCGAAGCCCCTCCAACTCCTCTCCAGCTCGGGACCATCTGTCTTGACATCTCGACTCAGAGGCCAGGTCAGACTGCTGGCTGCTACTCCCATGAACACTCAGCTGAACCTATAGGCCACATGGGGGAAGACAGCCCTGAGATAAACATTCCTGATCAAAAGGATCAATGGTGCCCTGGCCAGTTTGGCTCAGTGGATAGAGCGTCTGCCTGTGGACTGAAGGGTCCCAGGTTCGATTCCAGTCAAGGGCACATGCACAGGTTGCAAGCTCAATCCCCAGTGGGGGGCATGCAGGAGGCAGCTGATTAATGATTCTCATCATTGATGTTTCTGTCTCTCCCTTCCTCTCTGAAATCAGTAAAAAAAAATAAAAAAATAAAAAAATAATTACATATATATATATATATTAGAGGTCCGGTGTACAAAATTTGTGCATGGGGCCAGGGAGGGGGTGTGTGAGTCCCTCAGCCCAGCCTGCACCCTCTCCAATCTGGGACCCCTTGAGGGATGTCTGACTGCCCGTTTAGGCCCAGATGGGATTGGGCCTAAATGGGCAGTCAGACATTCCTCTCACAATCCAGGACTGCTGGCTCCCAACTGCTCACCTCCCAAAAACTCCTGATTGCCCCTAAACACTACCATGCCAGCCTGATTGATGTCTAACTGCTCCCCTGCCAGCCTGTTTGTCCCCAACTTCCCTCCTCTGCCAGCCTGGTCACCCCTAACTGCTCTCTCCTGCAGGGCTGATCACCTCTCAACTGCCTTCCCTTGCAAGCCTGGTGCCTCCCAAATGCCTTCCCCTGCTGGCCATCTTGTGTCCACATGGGGGCAGCTTCTGATGGTCAATCTGCTATTACTCTTTTATTAGATAGGATAGAGGCCTGGTGCACACAGGTGGGGGCCAGCTGGTTTGCCCTGAAGGGTGTCCCGGATGAAGGTGGGGGTTCCCTTGGGGCGTGGGGCGGCCTGAGCAAGGGGCCTGTGGTGGTTTGCAGGCTGGCCTCGCCCCCCAGCAACTCAAGCAGACGCTCTGGTATCCGGAATTTATTTACCTTCTACAATTGAAACTTTGTAGCCTTGAGTGGAGGCTTAGGCCAGCTTGGCTTCTGCTGAGCCTCCCTCCTGCCTTCTGTGGCCGCAGCCATCTTGGTTGGGGTTAATTTGCATGTTACTTTTTTATTAGGTAGTATTTTTAAAAGGATCCGTGGTTAGAGCATCGGCCTGTGGACTGATAGGTCCAGGTTGGATTCTAGTCGGGGCATGTACTTTGGTTGCAGACTCAATACCTGGCTAAGGTGTGTGCAGGAGAGACAACCAATCGATGCATGTTTCTCTCTTTGTGTCTCTCCCCATCACTTCCACTCTCTCTAAATTTCAGGTGAGGATTAACAACAACAACAACAAAGGATCAGTGTCTGATGCTAAAACAGCTTGCCCAGGCCTCCTCCCAACACATCATTAGCCAGGCTCACCCAGCATGACTGTAAACCACTCTGCATTGAACTTGTGTGAACTCGTGCACTTGATCCATCACAGCACCTGCCCTAGAAAAGAGGCCGGAAGAGCTGCCGCCAGGTAGGCCATCCAGCAGTGGAGAGCACTCTTCTTTCGGGCGGCACAGGGCACAGCAGAGAGCAGGCCCCAGGGTCAGGAGTACCTTCTCTGCACGGTTCACTCCACACACAATGGTCAATGCTCTGAGCAAGCACCTCACCAGGAGGAAAGAACTAGCTGTGGCCCCGGAGGCCGGGAATCAGTGAGTCAGTTTCTATTTCTCTCTCCCTCTCCCTTCTTCTCTGAAATAGATATATTTTTTAAAAAATACAAATTCCTGACCACAGCCTCCAAGGACACCAACCTCTCCAGCCTCCTGCCTATTCTCTGACCAGGCCAACCTCTTCCCAAGGCCTCTGGGCCGGCCTGGAGTACTCTAGCTAAAGGCACCTGGCTGATTTCCCACTCCATCCCTCAGAGATGAACACACAGGTGCTTGTTTACCTAGTACTGGCCCAGCAGGCAGCCCCGTAGAAGCCCCAGGGCCCAGGAGGACGCTGCTGCCCGAGAGCACTCCTCTGGGCCTCAGAGCCTTCATGGCTCCTCCCTGTGCACCTCCACAGGACTCCCACCTGGAGCCTAGCACGGAATAGGACTTGCACACAAGGCTAGGCACAGAAACAGGCCCTTTAAGGCCACCCTTCTCCCCACATACACACACCACAGGGAGTGGAGGATGGAAGCCTACTCTGGCCCCAGAGAAGCACCTACTTCCTCCCCCACAAGGGAAAGAGACAAGCAAAGGGACATGGGAATGTGGAAATCTGTTCCTCACCCTTCCACCAGGGAAGGGACAGCTGGGATCAGAGCCAGGACACTGAGGAGTTAAAGACTCTTGGTAACACACACACACACACACACACACACTCAAATCAGAAGCTGGAGACTGAGTCAACGACAGCAGGCCCCACCCCCGAGCTCCTCTTAAAGGGGCAAGTCAAAGCAACCAGGTAGTCCCGGATGCCAGTGGGAGTCAACTCTCTCCCACCTACGGGCCAACTGAGCAGAGGGACCAGAGAGGAAGAGGAGGGAAGACAGGAGAACACAGGCGCTCCACTTAGAATGATCCAGAGCAATCAGTGCCCCCATCACCACTGTGGCCACCCAGACCAGCACCCTACACCGTCTTACTGCAGAGCCTGGGGAGGGAGCCCAGGTGCTGCCCTTTGAAAGCTGGAAGCCTGGAGTGGTTGTCTCTTGGGGCAGGGGAGGGTCTGAGAGGAACTCTCCTCCCCTCCCTTCTCAGTCCAGCCTGGCTTACCTCCCAGGATACTTCCCTGGTTTACCTCCTGGGAGTCACCCCCCCCCCCCCCCAATTCTAGCCAGGGCCCTGTCTACAACCATATCCAAGGCACCAAAAGGGAAGAGACCTGTCCTTCCTACGCCCCCACCCCCCAAAAAAGAAAAAAAAGAAGAAAAAAACACATCACAGACTTGCTGGAGGCTTGACCTGGTTTTCCTATCCTGTGGATGAGCAAAGGCTCCGAGCAGTGTTCTGCCCTGGGCCATCAGCCCTTGTGATCTAACCCCCAACCTGCAAGAAAGGGAAACGAGAAGTGAGGCTGCTGAGCACCCTGTGGACAGGGAAACTCCGCTAATCTCTCCTGAGAGCCCAGGGAGGGGCCGCCTCAGGCTCTCCAGCTATCAAGTAACAGGAGGGAGAGGGAAGTAGGACAAGTTCCAGCTGGGGTGGAGAGGATACTGGCCTTGGCCCCAGGGGAGCCCTGGTTCCGGAGCAGCTCCAGCCTGAGAGGGAAGCTGCACAGAGGCAGAGTGGGAGATGGGATCTAAGAGAGGAGGGAGGGGACATCAGGATCACAGCCTCAAGCCCAAAGGGCAGAACACAGCCAGCCTGTGCCATCAGCCAGCATCACTGATATGGTGCAGTGGGCACTCCCCACAGAGCCTTTTCCAAACGACACCAAGCCTTGGGCTCCAGGCCAGGGCCCTCACACCTTCCACGAAGAGAACTACCGTGTCAGCAGGCCTGAAAGGCCCTATGGACCACTGTCCAGTGCAGAGCTCCTGGCCCAGATTCCAGAATGGGCAGCTGGAGGCCCAGGAGGCCCTAACAACTGCCCATGAACTCCAACCGAATCAGCACTGTTCTTAAGAAAACAATGTATAATAAAATGGCAGATTCTCAGGAAGGCTCAGGGCCCTAAAAAGTTAGTGACTGCTACTCTAAAGAAAAGGGGACCAAGGAGAGACACAAAGACAGGTAGTCAAGGAACAGGTCAGAGCCAGACAGGGATACAGTGATGGGCAGATAGGAAGGAGAACAGGGACTAGGATGGAGTTAAATGGGAATGATGCGGCAGGACCTCCCCCCCAGCCAGCTCATCACTACCCAGTGCCAGCTCCAGAAAGCTGTCCTTGATGAGATCCCACACAGAGCACAGTGCAGTCCAGCACCAGGAGCAGCAGGCAGCACCTCCTCCCTCAGCCTGGCACTGACCTCGCTACCTACTGCCATCCGCCACCCTCCAACCCCTGGTTCTCCTGGCTGGGAGACCGAGTGGACGGCCAGAGACAGATGGGGACAGAATGGATTAGACGGAAGAGCCGGCAGATAGTGATAGATGAAAGGGATGCAGACAGGGACAGGTGTGGACAGACAGACGAAGTCAGGAACACCTTTATGGACTGTTCTATGGGGCCATAGACAGACATCAGGAGCCTATGAACCCCACCATGACTCATGCACGTGTGGGACTATGAATGTTAGCTCCCTCAGGTTCTTCAAGAGAAGCCCTGGTAAGAGCAAAAAGCACTGCAAAACCCTGGTTTATAGGTGCACATGCTGTGGCCACAGGAAGAAAGCACACAGACTCTAGAGTCCCCATAGGGAGCCAAAGCCCAAAAGAATTCTAACACCCCCTCCGCTGAAGCTGCCTAAGCCCTTCTGTGACCCCAGAAGTGTCTCCAAACCCCCTGGTGCTCAGAGGACGAGGCATCCAATGAGTGTGCCGGGCAGCCTTACCTTGGTGCGCCCATTGATGACGTAGTTGCCCAGCCGCCCCGTGCAGTGCCGGATCACAGTGTCCACACGGGCCATGAGGGCCCCAATGCTGCGGCAGCCGGGCTCGTGGCCTTCCACCCAGGCGATCTGGTCCCCACGGATGCTGCGTGGCGGGATGGCCCGCTGGCTCACGAGCTGCCCGTCACGCAGGCGCCCGCCCCGCTTCAGGGCCTCTACCTCGGCCAGCACTCGGCCACCCAGTGCCGCCCCCAGGAAGCTGTCCTTGACACAGATGCCATAGTACCGCATGCAGGGCACGATATAGTCCAGGGCCAAGCGCTCAGGTGCAGCAGGAAGCTCCTCTGCCCTCAAGCGGGCACTGGCCTCACCACGGCCATGGCTATTGCCATTGCTGCAGCCCAGGCCACCCTCCCCCTCCGCCTCCTGGTTCTCCTGCCTGGCCCAGGGCCGCTTGCTGGGTGCGGGGGCATCTCCACCATCCTCTGCCCATTTCCGCTTGGGGGCCTCCGGCCGGGCGCCCTGAGCTGCCAGCCGCTGGCAGCCCTTGGTGACCAGTGCCGCGGCACCCTCACTCTGCAGCGGCTGCAGCTCACCACCACCCTGCCCACCAAAGCCCTCCAGCAGGGGGCTGGCTGAGGTGGAAGTGGCTGTGGCTCTGGGGATCCCACTCCCTGCTGAGGCCTCAGGAGATGCCCCTGGACGGTGGTAGGAGGGTAGCAGGGGACATGGCAGGTAGCTCTCCACCCCCATCCTGGACCGGCCAGGCTCCAAAGGCTCTGACACAGAACCCGGCAACGGAGGGAGAGCCTGACTCAGGGCCTGGGGCTGGCACGGGCTGTCCATGGCAGCAGCGTCTTCATCCCCCTGGCATGGAGGGCACGGCCTGGGCCCATGATGCCACCCTCCTCCGCTGCCTCCTCCTCCTCCACTTGATGCAGCTGGGGGCCGGGGCGGCAGGGCGGGCCGGGCCTGGCGTGGGGCAGGGTGAGGCAGGGCAGGTGGCAGCGGCTCTTCTTGTGCCCTGGGGGTGCTTGCTGGTCCCCAGGTCCTCTGCTGTCCCTAGGGTCTTGGGAAGGGACCTGCCAGGGTTACTGGAGAAAGAGAAAAATAAAAAGAGAGAGAGATGTTTGAGGAGCTAGAAGCAGCGGATGGGGAAAGGGTGAAGGATGGAGGAACAGTAAAAAGGCAGAGAAACTTGACTGTTGAGACCAAAAAAACTGAGCCCACTAGGGGGAGAAGACCCTGGGAATTTGGGGGTTTGGGAGGCGGAGGTCACTGACAGACAAGAGTCAGTGAGGACAGGTGGAGGAGTAAAGCTGGGTGGATGACCCAAGACAGGACTGCGGTGGGGCGAGGGGAGAGAACCTCAGCCTAAGACAGACAAACAGAAAAGAGGGAGAGGCCTGAATAGAAAAGGACCGGGGAGAGTGGGGAGCAGAGACCTAGAGGGGTGATCTGCCGGGGAGCTCCAGAGAGACACAGGGAATGTGGGGGTCCACAGAGAGAGGAAACTGGGGAGTCCAGAGAAAGGAAAAAAACCCCCAAAAAACAGAAGGGGTGGGGGGAGGGGGAGGACAGAGAAAAACCGGGGAAAAGCTGGGAGGGCGGGCCTGAGAGAACCGGACAGACCGGGGTAGAGGGGTCGACCTTACCCCAACGAGAGGAAGCCTGTTGGGGGCTGAAACACATCCAGACGGAAGGGAGTTCCTGAGACAGACTGACGGACGGAAGGGAATCAATCGCAGGAGTCGGGCTCCCAGCGACAGAGAAGGGAGGATAAGCGTTCGCGCACTCGGGCCCGAACTAGGGGGAAACGAGCGCCCCCTACCAACCAGCTCCGGTCGGTGCGAGCGCGGAGGCCGGGTCAGGGCGCAGCTGGCAACGGAGGCAGGGGTGCGGGCTGCTCGGACCCCTGCCCACCCCCTCCGCCAGGCTCGCGCTCCTGCTGCCACCTCAGCCTCCGCCGCGGCGGGCGCCCAACGTGCCTGCCGCGCGCTCCCTCCCCCACGCCCTACCCCCACTCCGCCCTCCGCAGGGTCGCCCGGCTCCGCCACCGCGGGCCGCAGCGCGCCCCCCGCCCCGCCCCGCCCCGCCCCACCCGGCCCGCGCCGGCGCCCCGACTCCAGCGCCCTCCGCGCCCGCTCCCTGCCCCCCGCGAGCTCCCCTCACCGAGCTTTTTCCTGCGACCCCGGCGCCGCCGTTTGTTCCAGCCGCCCTGCGCCGCTCCGCTCGCCATACCCCGCCCCCACCGCCCCCACCGCCCCCACCGCCTCCGACGCCCCGCCCCCGCCTCCCGGGGTGGGGACGTGACCGCACCCGGGCCGAGGACGCGGTGCGCAGGCGCGGGCCGCGCGGGGCGGGGCCTGGGCGTTCAGAACAGCCACTCCGAAGGGAGGGGGGCCCACCCACACGAGGCTCATTTGAATTCTACGCCCCGCCCCTTTAGCGCGAGAGGAGACACGAGATTAGAAAGGGCTGAACCGGCGAAGTTTCGGCAAACATTATGCAAATGACACTGGAGGGGTATGCAAATAAGCCTATTTACATGAACAAGTCCCTCTTCTCAGAGCCGAGGACGCTGCGGAACGAGTGGCGGGGTCGGTATGTGCCGCGCAAATCTTCGATGTCATTTACAGCTCCACCTTCTCACAGCTCAAGAACAGGGATCAGACGTTGAGTAATGTCGGCGTAGGTAGTTGGGAAATATATGTAAATTAACACACCAGCAATAATTTATGTAAGGCCTTTATATAACGGAGGAAAACAGTGCGTGCGGAATGTCCTTGGAGCTCGGAATAGAATGGATGTGCAGACATGTCGCGACCCACTCCGCCCTGTCCCCTCACAAGAGTCAGAATAAAGTAACCTAGGAAAGCCATGCAGAGAAGATACTTGCATGACAGCCTCGCCTTTTAAGAACATTTTAGGCAACTGAGCCTGGGAGGATTGTGTTAGGTCTGTCACACACCCAGAAGGGAGGTCTATTTAAATGCCCACCCGCTCTTCCTCCCCTCGGTGGAACAGAGACGCAGGCCTTCCCTGCGGGTTAAAGCAGACTTGAGGGTAGTTAAGCAGTTGGGGTTGTACAGAGCATGTGTCCTAGATTCACCTGAACACAAGGTAACATACTGGACTGGATTCAGTATGCACGTGAGTCCAGGTTGCACAAAGTCCCACATACATACAGAAAGGGTTCATGGTGTATCAAAGGAGTCAAATTCACATCAAAACACGCAAACACTGCCATGGCTCAGTGGTTGAGCATTGACCTATGAACCAGGAAGCCACCATTCAATTCCTGTTCAGGGCACATATCCTGGTTGTGGGCTCCATCCCCAGTGAGGGGCGTGGAGAATCATCAATAATTCTCTCATCATTGATGTCTCTCTCCCTTCCTCTCTGAAATCAATTAAAAAATATTTACACACACAAAGACCTGAAGAGGCACACATGCAAGTCAGACACTGCCCAGGCTTTCAGGCACAGGCATGTATAGGTATCACCCACAGGCCTAAATTCTTTTTCCTTTTATTCAATGTCCCAAACAACCTCATGAATACAATCACTGAGGACACAGAATTATCACAAATAACAGTGTCACACACACAAGCAGCACATATTCCGACAGATACCACCAGTAATGGCACAAACACAGGGACATAAGTATTATATATGTAGGCCTCCAGTGCACACTGTCATAAAATGTGCAGTGACAGACTCCCTCTAGAACAGGCACCTACCTGAGTCATGGAGTCATGGTGTATCCCCACACCATGTCTGACCCAGAAACATGACCCCGAGCACCATGATACTCATTCTTCCATCAGATATCTCTTCTGCCTCCCCTCCCTCCCTGCCATCCCAAAATGATGGAGGCCAAGACACAAGTATAAACAATGCTTTATGGGAGTGGAGAAGTAAGCCTTCAGGTAATAAATAACTCGTACTCGCAATGGCAGGGCCGGGGAGCTGGGGCCAAAAGGCCCTGGTCACAGGCTTTGGGAACTCTTTGAGAATGGTCAGGAGTTCGATGGGGGTAAGGGGTAGCCAAGACGGAGGAAGCAGCAGCAGGTATGGATTCCCCCTTCCCCCATGGCTCAGTCTTGCCCCTCTGCCAGGCCCAACCAGGCCAGGGAAGGGGAGCACGTATCAGGGCAGCTTCTCTGGGGCCAGGTGAGGGACTTGGCCTCCCGGGGCCTAGGTCTGGACCCCATTCAGAAGGACAGGGCTGGTCCTGGAGAACAGGTGAGCTGAAAGAAAAGTGTAAGGTGAACTGGAAGGATCCTGGCTCTAGCTGTGTGTGTCTCATTTCTGGGTATCTTTCTGCCCTCCTAACAGTGTCTGTCTCTCCATTCCTCTCTCTCTCCGAGAGTTTCAACATTATCTGACTTTCTATATCTCATCTGCATGTAATTTGTGGGATTCTCTATGAGGATTTCTCCTTGCTTCCTCAGAGAGCTCTCCCCTGGACTCTATAAAAAGGTAGTTCAGTGTCTGAATTTCATGTCCCCACCTTTGTATCTCTATGTAACTCCTTCACTCCTGGATCACCCAGACTCCAGGTCTTATTCCAGGGCTTTCTAAACTGAGGAGACACATCCAGCCAGTGGTTCTTGCTCTGTTACAGATATCAATGTCTGGGAGCTTCCAGGAATCCTAAAGTCACTTCAGAATCAATCTTTGGGGTAAGGCCCAGGCATCAGTAGCTTTTAAAGATCTCCAGGTGATTAATCCAATGTTGGATTAATGGGATGGTTTGGTGGGCCTTGACCAATCTTTGATTGAAAAAGAATAAAAGAGTCCTAGGACCCAGCCGGTGTGGTCCAATGGGTTGACCATCAACCCATAAACCAAGAGGTCTCCATTTCGGTTTCTGGTTTCAGGCTCAATCCCCAATAGGGGGAGGTGCAGGAGGCAGCCTATCCATGTGTTTCTCTCATTGATGTTTCTATTTCTCTATCCCTCTCCCTTTCTCTAAAATCAATAAAAACATTTTTAAAAGAATAAAATGGAATACACAGAAAATATCAGAGTGCATCATATGTAATAACTAGAGGCCTGGGTGTACTGGTGGGGTCCCTCAGTCTGGCCTGCAGGGATCGAGCCAAAACTGGCTCTCCAACATGCCCTGAGGGGTCCCGGATTGTGAGAGGGTGCAGGCCAGGCCAGGGGACCCACCAGGCACAATCAGGCTGGGGAGGGACGGCGGCAAGGCTCCAGGGCGTGTCCAGCCCATCTCGCCTAGTCCAGATCTGCTGGACCCAGCCCCCTGGTAGTTAGTGCATGTCATAGCAACTGGTTGAACGGTCAGACACTTAGCATATTAGACTTTCACTATATAGGATTGGTCCATGGAGATACAAAGCAGATGAGTGGGTGCTAGAGGCTGGAGAGAATGAGGAGTGACTGCTTAATGGGTAAAGAGTTTCCTTTGAAGGTAATGAAATGTTTTGGAATGAGACAGGGGCGGTGGTTGCACAATCTTGTGGTTGCACAATCTTGTGCAAGTACTGAATTACACATTTGAGATGGCTAGATTTATCTTATATGAATGAATATCACCTCAATTATTTAAATTTAAAAAAAAAAAGAATATTGGTGCTAAGAAAACATGTTTCAGTTTTATATGTGTGTAACTGTATTAAATCAACATGTATTTCCTCTAGCAGATTGCAGTCAACAAAGTGAAAAAGCATCATCTTGCCCTAACTGGTTTGGCTCAGTGGATAGAGCGTTGGCCTGCAGACTGAAAGGTCCCAGGTTCGATTCCGGTCAAGAGCATGTATCTTGGTTGCGGGCACATCCCCCGTAGGAGGTGTGCAGGAGGCATCTGTTCGGTGTTTCTCTCTCATCGATGTTTCTAATTCTCTATCCTTCTCCCTTCCTCTCTGTAAAAAATATATATATATATATTTTTAAAAAGCAAAGAAAAAGAAAAAGCATCATCTTACTATATTTGATTCCTTGAGAGCAAACCTTGAAACAGACCCTGGGCTAAGCCCTGGGGGAGAGGGATGGTGAAGAGTATACACATTCATTTCTGCATAGCCAGAGTCTTTAAAGGGATAAAAGGAAGAAAAAGAATAAACAGCCTTGTTTCTGAGTCTTTACTAAGTGCAGGTCCCTGTTCTAAACACTTTACATGAATTAGCTATCTTCTCAACATCCACATGAGGCAGATACTGCTACTGAGGAAATGAGGGCACAAGGTTAAATCAGAGTCACCTGGCTGTGAAGTGAAAGTCAGAGTTTACATGCAGGCAGCCTGGCTCTGGAGTCTGTGATCTGTCACCTCCCTTCCTTCTCAGATGGAGAAGACAAATGCTGTACAAATAATAAGTTGAGACCACCAGCTAGAGGGAGTGACCCTGCCTGGGATAAAGGTTCCTGCAGGATGAGTCATTCAGCAGAGACCAGATGAGGAATAGGAGTTGGTGTAAGAAAGGAGGCAGGAGGACAGGCACGCCCAACCGAGGCACAGCAGATGGAAAGGCCTGGATGGAAAAAAGAACTTACCCAGGACTCCTCTCTCAAATCCCATATACATCCATCAGGAAATAGCGTTGGTTCTGCCTTCAAAGCATATCCAGTATAACCCCTTTTCCCCACAGCCACTCTGGAACTGCCGATGGCTGGGAGGGGAAGTGGGCATGAGGCGCAGAGGGGAGCACTGGGAAGACAGTCACACCCTAGAGAAGTCAGGATGGGACAAACCCTGCAGGATCTTGCCAGCCTGTCAAGTCGTTTCAAACAAACAAGGCTTCCTAAAGGAGAGGGAGGAAGCAAGTATGGAAAGGAGGAAAGGAATAGTGCTCCTGGCAGAAGAAGCAAAATGAGCAAGACCTAAAACATACAAAAGCTTTAGTGTGGCTACAGTGGCCTGAGAGGTGGAAAGAGATGCAGAGTCAAACAGCAGGCTGAGGAGCTTCAGCTGTGTCCCATGGACCCTGGGGGCCATGAATGGTTTTAAGCAAGAGGGACAGGATAGGATGTGCTACATCAAGAGGGCACAAGACTGGAGACAGAAACCAGGGAGGATACAGAACCTATACACACCTCAACACCCCCTCTGCCCCCTCTCCCCAGGTGACGGTATTGTCCACCATCACCTCTCATCTTTACTTTGCAGCAGCCTGCTCACTGGTCTTCAGGCCATGCCCTCCACACAGTCCCCCACTGTGTGCAGTAAGAGGGACCCTATGAACACCCAAATGAGTTCCCATCTCTCCTCTGCTCAGAGCCCTCCTCTGGCTCCCACCCCATCCAGCCTATAAGCCAGAGTCCTCCCTGTGGC